GTATCTGTATTGCTGGTATAACCGCCCTTTTGGCGTAACACACCAGGTTCGCATACACACATTGCGGCAGCAGCTAGGTATATTACACCCAGCAACTTGTTACACCTAAGGCCACACCAATTTAATTTGTTGGTTCTCGGATTCGCCTCTTTGTTTTTTCTGATTTGCAAAAAAAAAATTTGATTCTGGTCCTGAATCAACTGAAAAATGCTCATGTTTTGCCCCCAACAGTTGAGGAACGTCCTTTTCTTCCTAGTTGTTACAGTTTTCCCATCTATCATTGCAGTGGTTTGATTAAAAGTTCAAAATTCAATGTTTAAATTTTAACCCAGCCTTTTGTGTTGACTTCATGGCTTGTTTTGTAGCATTTAAGCCTATAATAGGATGCTTAGACCTGTTTTTATTTTTTATTTTTTTCGCCCTGTCGCTTCATATTTTTTCTGAAAAAATCCGAGAACAAACAAATTAAATTGGTGTGGCCTTAGGCGCTTTCTCGAAAACATGGTTGGAAAAGGTCATGGTGAACAATTTTGTCGTTAAAAGAAAAATCGCTACGCCCGCTCACTAAAATGGCACTAGCTAACACAGGCCTTGAGAGACACTTTATGAAAGGTGTGTGCGCTCCCACCAAGGATGAGGGTTGTCAATAGTATGGGCACCAGAAACTCTGACAAACTCAGATACATGTATATCAAGTGCAAAACTCAGATGAATCACCTATGCACTATCTGTCAGGGATACTGAATGCTAGCATATGATGTTACATGATGTATACATAATCATATATCATATCATATTTTTAGCCTTCAGCATAACATATTCTGCAAATTCTTTTGTTACCTCATCATCACATGATACATTTTAATAGTTAGTGCTTTGCCTGATAGATAAATTTTTGTATGCATGAATTAGAATTTCATGTGTCTAAGTTTTTAATACAGATGTGTGCCATTCATTCATTCAAAAATGGAAGGCAGCATCTTATACCTGTGGCAATAAATGTGTGGCAGGAAATATGGGGGTTATTGACCTCAATTACTGGCTATGTTCATGGCATCCACGTTAATTCAATGGGCTAGAGGTCACTGGTTCGATCCCCGGATGCACTGGCATGGCCGTTGTGTCCTTGGAATGCACTTTAGACAATTTTCTCCATCCAGGTGTACATTTGCAAGGCAACCTCTGGTAGAGACTACCGATAGAATCTACAAAGACACGTTTGGAGGATATATGGTTGTAAAGTTTGACATACTGTAACATATTGTTCACCTGCAGTACCAACAAACTACAACGTGTGGCGCTCCTGAGAAGTGCACTTGCAGTTGTGGGGAGAAATAATTTTTACGAAAAAAATTACTAAAAGTCATACTAAAAGATAATGTCTTGAAGTATTTTTGATACACTCACTTATCAAACACTTAAGTATTGATTAACAGTTACAATACAAGGAATGTGACCTAAATTTTCAAGATGACCTGAAAAGAGCAAAGTAACATAACCTGGGAAGAGCCTGAGGAAGCAGCAGCCGCTACACCTAGATGGAAACTTGCTGCCCAACATATTACTGACAGAAAGTAATACTAGAATCACCTGCTAGGCTGGTTCTGGAGACGGGTGTACCTCCCCCCTCCCCCCAACCCAAACTTTAAAGGTGAAAGGCCAATGGACCCTTCTATTAGAAAACAGGGGTGGGCAGGATGGTCAAGACCAAACATGGGGTGGCAGAAGCAATATTGTAGGTGTATGAACTAGTAGAGAGAGCTTAGTCTCTCCTGGGATGGAAGTACTGTTTTGGGTGGGTGGTTTGTCTGTGCGTTTATGCCGCCCATAATCATAGGCCACCTAGCCATTTCAAAGAGAAATGCAGGTAAGTATACAGCCCAATAAATCACCATACATTAGACATGTTGACCTGTAGGTTGTTGCCCGGGTTGATCTAAGGTCAGAATGGTGTGTCAGAACCTGTTTTAGCTTTGTGAATCAGCACAGCAATCAGAATAAAAACTTAAGTACACTGAAACTGAACAATACAACCTTGGGTAAGGTAGGAAGCTAGACATTGATAGTACGTAATGTGATGAGTCTGATGACACTATTGTTTTATTTCATAATGACTTGAACCAACACAGATGAACTTTCATGCTATTGTTTGTCATATTGTGTATTGTCCTGTGTTTATGTAATAATCATGCCAAACATGTTTTCTTTCTAATCAAAGCACAGGACACTGACAATCATCTCTGACTGCAAAGGACTACCACCAGTCAAAGCACAGTATGGATCTGGACAATGCTGAGCAGTATGCCAGCAACAGAGGGGAACAACAGAATGTGGCAATGCAACTTATAAACAAGTAAGCTCTCTTTTCCTCAATCTTTTCAAAATTCTGCCAATTCCCTCTCCAAAATTGATACAGGAACCGTACAATGATTATTTATACTGATTTTGGGTGATCAGATACTGTACGGTCTCCAAATTTGCAGTATTTGGTAACGATAGATGTAATAAAGCGAATACTGTAATATTACTATAACGTTAATATCACTGATTTTGATGCCACATATTTAAAATGTGACTGTCTATTAGACAATTGAGTTGTTTCGATAGATCTTTCTATTCTAAGATGATCAATGGAGATATCAACTTCTTGAACTTTGATTTTCGAAAAAGTGAATGTTTTTTGCCTTGAAAGCCCAAGAACTACCTTCACCTAATACTTATACTTGACCTCTGACCCCACAGGTATGTCCAGTGGCAGGATGGTGACCTTGTACTTGATGTCGGGTGCGGAACAGGAGAGGTCACCAAGTTCATGGCCCAGCAGACTGGGATCAAGGCTGTGGTCGGATTCGACTTGTCAGACAACTTTGTTCGGTTAGAACTGTGAACATGCTTGGTACTTAGAGGTTTAATGTATGGATTATCTTCCAAATCCCAATGTTGTGTGTAGTATTTCCATCTTTGTTGGTCATTGGCTTGCAAAAACATACTTTGAAAAGCAAAGTGTTTTTATCATTATTACATTATCATATTTGCTAGATGTTTGTATACAAGCATGAACTTGCCTTTAGAGCTTTTCAAAAATTGCCATATAAGTGTTTCATATAAAGAAGCTTGTGCACTTTCTGTAAATTTTGCTACACAGCACAACTACAGAAAACACACAAACAGCACAGCTCTCCATTGCGCCCGCAAGTTTTGAAATGCACCAGTGCACCTGCACTTCCAGCTTTGCTACAGAGCACAATTCTACAGAGATCACTCACACAAACAGCAAAACTATCGGCACACCTGCAATGAAATGCAGCTGCCTTAAAACAAGTTTCTGCACTTCCAGTTTTGCTACGGAGCACAATTCTACAGACAACACATCCTTCTGCGTTGCTGATGCTTCAGACGCCGCAGCCATGAGGCCTGAGTGGAAGGGTTACTTCACCAAAGCCACCTGTTTCACCATGCTGCACTGGATCCAGGACAAACGCAGCTGTCTGCAGAACATCTGTAGCTGTCTGCAGCCAGGTGGTCAGCTGGTGATCAACTGTCTACTGGACACCGCAGGGGTCAGCGATATTGACCTCCCCAACTGGAGGCAATACTTAAAGGTATTTTTGTGTATAAAGCATATGATGGCTGTTCAATAAAACTGTTATTTCCAATGCAAAAATTGTACCCAAATTTTGGACAGTCCAATTTTATCATGCAGACATCATAGAAGCACTGGATTGGTCATTTCTTGACAAAGACTGGACAGTCAAAAATTGGATGGGGGCAATTTTTGTACCGAAAATCACAGTTTAACTTCAGAATGATTTCTACCACCATAGATGAACTTTCAAACACTGTATTATGTCTATCTCTTTCTGAAGGATTTCTACCACCACAGATGAACTTTCAAACACTGTATTATGTCTATCTCTTTCTGAAGGATTTCTACCACCATAGATGAACTTTCAAACACTGTATTATGTCTATCTCTTTCTGAAGGATTTCTACCACCACAGATGAACTTTCAAAGACTGTAATGTCTTCTCTCTTTCTGAAGGATTTCAAGTACAACCTCCACCCCTGGCCTAGTAACAACATCCAGGGCATGCAGTCTCTACTGGAAGAGTGTGGCTTCAAGGTCAACGAATGTCTGGGTCATCCCGGACCCCCACAGGACGAACCATTAGATGAGGAGGGGTGGAAGGGTGTGTTACGTCCAGTCCTGTCCCAACTGAAGTACATTCCAGAGGAGAAACAGGATGACTACCTGACAGAGTACACCTCAGCTGTCATGAAGAGGGTTCAGGAACAGAAGGGGCAACCTGAACAACTGGTGGCTCATGCTTGTAAAATATAATTCCTCACAGAGCATTCCCACTCACTTAACAGGTCAATGAAGCAAACATGTTACGTGCCGATAAGATGCATTTGAATGGTGTATATAAGGTCTTAGTTCAGTCACGGTACACCAAAGCCGGCCATGAAATGTATCCCCGTAATCCCAACAAGTCAGACCACCACACGGATGTCAGTTGATCACACTAAAAAGGGTCTGAAGATGAGATTTGTGGCATCAAAGTTGACCGTCAAATGCATCATTTTGGAGAGGTTTCCATGTTGTTTTACGCTCTGCATGGGGGTTTCGAGAAGACTGATTGTCTCATCTACTTCCGGGCCATTCCAAATGAGCACAGTACACACAAATTACATTCATTGTAACACCTATCGATCACAGGAATAAAGTAAAATTCGTTACAGATGCTGACTGCCATGTTGGTGTCCCAAGTTTTCATCGCAATGGATCATAGCTCAAAATTATATACAGGCGTTGATTTTTATGTTTATGGATTTTTTAAGACTTAATTCAATCATGTAACCTGTATGTTAGTTGACACTAACCTCTTCCCTTATGACCTCAATTAAAAAGCAGCCAGCAGGCCGATTTGAGTATTTCATTAATTAACATGGCATATTGCTGAGCAGAAATTCTAAAAGGCCACCTTTGGTGCTTTGAATGTACAAATGTATATCATATTGTACATCAGAAGAAAGATGACTTGAAACCCCTAACACTGGTATGTGAGAATTTATTGTCAAAATATCACAATCAAGTTTGTTTACAAAGAAAGGTAAACAGGTTGAACAGAAAAGAAAAGCATCATGTTATTCTCCTAGTAACACCTCAACATCAAGGCATAGAAGGTACACATGACATTTACATACAAACTGTAAGGTAGCTGGAACTTAAAACTTGGAATGGTCTTCAAAAATAACATGTTTTGTACTACCGGTACTACCTACTATTAATCTAATTATTTTAACTTGTTTACAATCCTTAATTTATCCTCTTGGCACTCATGTACCCAAAACAATGCTTTGTTTATGGACAAAAGGAAATAAAGTTTCCTTCTTGAAAAGAAAAGTACAAAATTCCAGTGCATACAGACTTCTTGTACTTGAATGGGGGATGTAACATCATCATTCTCAAAGTATTGAGTTTAAAAAAATGTTACAATACAGGGGACTAAAAGGTTTCTTTCTGGTGATTCTCTATGATGATTGGTGGCCGTCTTGATGAAGAGTTGGTAGACTGTGCAGCGGCGCCCCCTACCCTCTTGTGTACTTGCCCCAGATGTGCAGCATGAAGACTGAGGCGATGAACAGCAGGCTCATCACGAGAACGGGGACAGGGCCACTGGAAATAACAAGAAAACATTGACTTCAATATCATAGCTTTTGATTGGCAGAAGTATGCAAGGTAGTAAGGGAATACATATTGTTAGATGAATACAACAATTGCAGAAAGTTCCCCTCTAAAAAAGCATAGAACAGGTTTTTACTTCTCCAATATTGACCAGTTTAGTTGAACCAACCCTTTGTAGTGACACGTACAAGGTGTACTAATAATATAAGTCTATGTCATCTTTGCTTCATAACAAGTTGTGTCAATGTTAAATGTAAGGTAAACTGAGTTAAGTATACATAAACTCAGTTGGTAGGTATAAAATAATAAGACATACACTTTGAGGCCAGGAGAGTCTTCTGTGTAGAACCGCCACATCCCTGCAGTGTTGCCTGTAGCCCTGGCCTGGCCTCTGGAGGCTGAAGATGGGGTTTTCCTGTACAACACAATAAGGTGTTTAATATTGGTTGCAATTCTGTGCTCTACTGTGGGAATATTATTTAGAACAATGGTCATAGCTCTAGTCTGTATAACACAATGTGTAGCCAGCTAAACAACATTTCTGTTGTATAGATCTTGAAAAGTGGTATACTACAAAGGAACAATTTTTCCAGCTAATTTGAATTCTGAATCTGAAGTCAAGTTTGAATTTCAAGCAGTCTAGTCTAGTATGGATTTTTAAAAAAGGGGAAGGCATTAGCAAGACCTTAGGTGCAATGCAGTTGAACCCCACACCTCGCATTTTCAGCAAAGCACGCTGGGTTTTCGGTTCTTTTACGAGGTTCGATGCCTAACGCTTCCCCATACCCAGAGCTTTGAATTTGTCATTAACTTAAAGGACCAATGCAACAACCCCACTGCATGCCCAAGCAGGGTTTTGATTTGAACCTCCAACCTCTGGATCTACCAGTATACCCACCTTTGTCTGAGCTGGCTGCCTCCCCCTGCACGAGGTGTGACGGCCTTGCTAGAGGGGGCCCGGGCCCCGACATTGGTCTGACTCGCTGGTGCAGGCTGTAGGAAATAAAAACCACTGTTAACATATATAGTAAAAAAAAAAATAAAATGATATTTTCAAACTCTTGATTTTCACCAACCCATGGAACTGCGTAATCTTGAGTACTGCAAACCTAAGTGAATCCATACTATACGTGATAGTTGAAGGCTTCTTCTTTCGTCAAAATAATTCTTACTCTAACTGGAACATAATTTTTAAGAGTCTGCTTTGAGTGACAAGAACAAGACAAAGCAATTCTGATCCTTAAATTTGGGACAAAAATAATTTAAGAACCATGAGCACTAATCAGCAAAAGCGGAAAATCTTCAGCAGAATTCAGCCAATTTTCATACTAATCATAGTTTCAGAGAAATTTGATACATAATTTTTTTTGCATACTGTATATAACGTTACAGCAACCCCCCTCCCCCTTTCCAAAAACCTCCCTATAACTATTTTCTTCCCAATAAAACTTAGTAGAACCTAACTTATCGTTGGATCTTAGCTTGTTAAGGCCTAATATATCAATGGAGCGATTCTACGCATTTTGAGTATCAAGATTTCGTAAGGCATATGGGTGATCCGTAGTTGTGAAATCTTCGAAAACAGTCTACGTGGCAAAACGCAGCACTTGGCTCAAAGTCCACTCGAAAAGAAACATAAGATTCTTCCACAAAACTCAATAATCGGAACACAAAACTACGTCTACGCGTTAAAAACATCTTATACTTAAGATCTGAGTTGGATCGAAGTTATATAAATGTCTAAAATATTATAAAATCGCAGACAACTCTTACCATGTTGTTCCGTTCACCACAACTCTGAAAACAGCCGGAAGTGAAAAGGCCACGCGTCGACGTCACAGGTCTCGCGAAATCGCGCGCGAGTTGGTGCCAAGGGAGTAGATCACTTTATGATTTGTACGGGGGTGTAAAAAGGAATAAACTGCATCTATTGTAGACATAAATGACTCGAATATTCCATACTTTTTATGTATCACTTTTAAAAAGTAAGATATTTATGATGATCTATTTTATGGGATATATAGTACATTTTGAAAGCAAACAAGGAAGGCATCTAATTATCATAAATCCCTAGTGATAAAATTAGCCATTACCAAGCTAGAATAGTCAACTACAGTATTTAGGGGTAAATATATTATGTAGTTTATTTTATGCGTTTAATAAAGGTACATAACTCGTACTTTAAAGATAAAAATTATTTTAAATATAGTAATATATTTTTCTAAGATAGCACAGTCTAGATTTATGACATTTTTTTATTGAAAACAATCGAAGATTTCTACAATATTTATTATGTTGGCCCCTCAATCAACAATGGTATAATGCCATTGAAAGAGGGCCCCTGATGGAATGGGGCAAGTCCAAACCTGCAATGGTCCTGGCCTCCTATTTGTCAGCTCCTTCGCTGTATAAATAGCGACTGATCTAATACGAATTCCTGCTGACAGCCCATTCAGAAGTTCAGTCAGCCACCAGAACGCCATGTGTTTTTCTCAGCCAGTCAGGTTTCAAAACAACTCCTGACTGTTATTCTCTTCAACAAGTTTTGCACAAGTTGTGATCTTTGAGGGCCCAAGTGTATAGTGTATATATTTAACTAGGCGAGTGGCTTTTTGATTTCGTCTGCGTTTGGGAAGGTAAGTGACCTGGCTTGCTACTTGTATGTTGGGGCGAAGGATGGTGTAGATTTGCAGACGAAAAACAACAAGTACAGGTCCGCATTTTTGCCGCTTCCTTTACGTTTGTTTTTATGTCGTCTGTTTTCTGTCCGCTATGTAAACATTATTGATTTTAACAATTGCTAAGATTCTCCGTTTGTTCTTTCGATACGTACTAGTTAGTATACGAACAGAAAAGTTCCCACCGATATCATACTTACTTGCACTTCTTCAGCTTCAGTGGAGCTCTATTAGACACTAGGTGTTAAACTGCTCAATTGTTTTCTAACGACCGGAAGAAAATAAATTGTTTATCGTCTGCGATACTAGTGTACTCCTAGTGTAATCTACTTGTTGGCAGGATGGCACACATTTGGATAGTCGGGATTGCGTTAGATTGGTAAAGCTTGCATCAGCTTTTTCGCCATGCACTTGTTTTACGATTTCTTGTAAAGGCTGCATAGTTAACGGTTAAATATAGAGGTTTCGGAATTAAATGGAGTTTTAGTTGTAAGATTTTGTGTGAAAAGTTTTAGAAATTCGCGGGAATTGTGATTGTAAACGCGTCTGGACATGTGAGTGTAGGCGTGCCTTGACTTGTCTGAGATCGGGCACCGGCCCGAGCGGGAATGTCTGATAGGTGAAATGTGGCCGAACGATGTTGTTTTCCTGTCCGAAACTTTTTTGCGATAACTTTCTGATACAACTTAATTGCTGATGGCGTGTGTGTAGGTTTAAAACCTCCTTGGTGTAATTCTACCCCAGTGTTTTCAAACACCCTGCAGATAGGGTTTGAACCCCATGAGGGTAAAGTTATTGTTTTGGCGCGAGGGCCTCGAGGGTGACTCACCGAGGAAGAACTGGGCCCTTTCGCCCGGACCCTGCCAGTACTGTTATTGTTTATCTTTGTAAAGGCCCTGCACAAGCTGCTGACTGTTGTGAAATTCAACCCTCTTTTGTCCACGAACAGACGTCACCAGTAAAACCGCAAACTTGTGATCGCTGGTGAATCATTCTGAGCTTTTGATGACCAGAACTTCTCCCCCAAAACGTTTTAATAGTTCGAAAACTATTAGTATGGTGGCAAACTTTTGCAAGTTCATCTTTTTAGGTTCGAACATAATTGTAAATGACTACGTTGATATAGAATTTAGTGTGATTGTTGAAATTTAATAGCTGCTGTTCTGTTTCTTTTTCATTCCTTTAAACAACATGTAAAAACAGCAATTATTACTGTAACAGAGAAATGGTGAGAGCAAATTGCTAACCGTAACTGAAACAGTGCATCCAAATTTATATTTGATATAGCTCATTCTTCTGGATCTTAGCCATATGTCCCCCCCTCCCTATTACTAGTATTACTAGTTCTGGAATCTTCCCAAGTCGGCCTAGTTTCTGGACACATGTGAACAGGCTGCGATGAGTCATCCTTACGAGCGTAGTCCTGACGTAGATTCTGCCGCGTTGGAACCCAAACCCATGGCCGCCATGTGCCAGCATTACACTGCAAAATTGAGCAGTCATGTGATTTGAATGGTGGCCAACTGGACTTCAACATTTATAGCAAGGGGGACGTATACCTCATATCTGATTATTATTATGGAATAACATTTCACTACATCATAAAATTATGAAAAAAAAGAACACATAGTAGCCTTATACACCGTTGTGGTATGAGAATTTCCTACAGAAAAATCATTTATGAGGTTTTATAGCAGATTGTAATATTGACCCCCCTATGAGTAATCGTTATGGTTCGGTCCGAGGGACTTCCCCGACGCTTGGAAATCCCGGCGATGACGTCACCGCAACAGGGTGCAAGTCTGGAACTGAACTGCTGCAGTATGTGGATCATTTCTGTTCCATGTAAGCCTAGCGTCTAGACAGGGAAATATCTTTGAGCTTTGCTACTCCATAACAGAAAAGATGAGTGCATCAACCCCGAAAAACGTGAAAAGGTACGCTCGTATTCTTGAACTTGTCGTTCTTTTTATGACCTGCAAACCTTGCGAAGCGTCGGATACTATTTCATGTATGTGGGTGGGTGGGGCCGTACTCTTTCTAGAACTTTCCGTGACCTAGTGTACAAACGGTAAACCTAGGAAGACTTCGAGTTTAAGATCACTTGTTCACGCACTGTTGCATTTTAACAGTTAAGATGCCTTTTTCGAGTTTTGTCGTTTGGTTTTAATAAAGTGAGCTTTCGCTACTTCTGAAAAGAGATTGTTTTTGTTATTGTTCAACGATTTTTCCCATCCCTGTTTCTGGCATCTATATCCGTTTCCCACCCACAATAATTACAAGGACTAGGCCAGGGGTATATTTTTCCTTGCGTGTTTTGCACAGATGTAACACTAGCTAATAGACTTCTGTGGTGACCCCGGTACTCCAGTCAAAGGAAAGTTTGGAGAGTCTGCCTAGAAACAAGCGCCCACGCTTTCCGGTGTACTGCGGCTCTTTTTTCACGGGTCAGCCTTGGCAGAGCCGGGGTCAGGAGTGTAGGTGGGGAGAGATCGTCTAGCGGACATGCCTGGGCAAGCGCTTCAACCCGTAAACACTGTGCTAATTGTCCTTTCGCGGTGATCTAAGGGTGGTGTGGTGTGTGGTGGATGTTTTTAGTACGTCACTTTCAGGTACAGTATATACAAGGGTGTGGCGGCGCGAGTCTTGAGTTTGCTGGAATTTGAGGCACTATGGACGGTAAGTGTGAAGTGTTAGCAAGCTCTCAAGGAACTCAAGAAAACATCTTTAAGTATAGGCGTCCTTAAGGTAAGTGCAACATGTATTACACATATGTTTGAAACAACTGTGTTTAGAATATGTTCCCTTGTGTGTAACGTAAGGTCAACAATGCAGACTTTGTGATTCTTTTATGTCTGGGATGTTGAAAAGGTGTATACTGTAGATTGTTTATAGGTTGTAACTTAAACTGCAAGCGAAAGTCTAGCAGAACTACTGTTTATTATGATTTATAGGGTGGGAAGTTTTTGGTATCCTGCTTTCGCACCACTGAAAGAAAAGGGTTGTAAAAATGGGGTGGAAATTGTTACAGTTCCAAAGTCTCAGTTGACCTCGTCCTAGTGTTCAGTCAATTGCAAACCGGTTTTTGCTAACTTAGCACGATGTTCTTTCGCAACGACAGAATTCCTATTAATATTTATCCAACAGTTCTAGTATTTCAAATCCTGTTTTTCCCTTCTAAAAAATCAAGGATCAAGCCAGATATTTTTGTCTGTAAAGACACAAAGATGGCGGCAGGACTTGGCCCAAATCGATGCCCCCGCCCACGTATTATTTAGGCAGCAGGTAAAGCCGGTAGGCCATGCTTACATTCCAGCTGAAATTTTAAACGCCCGAGCTGTTCCTCTGTATAAAACAGAAGCTCTGTAACCCTGCCAAAGTTCGCACCGCAAGCTTGTGGCCACGTCATTTGGTATGTAGTAAGTATAAACCGCACATGTAACTACTTCCCAAGTAGAATTTCACGGGTAGAGAGGTCACTTTAGACTCAGTTTTGTAACGATCTGAATTCTTGTTCTTTAACCTTATGTCATGTGTAATGTTAGTCTAACTGTTGAGTAAATGTCTCGCTGTTTATTGTCGAGTGTCAGTGTCTCAAAAGTTAGTCCAAGTTACTTCATCCATACGTATATGTACTACACATGAGAGACGTCGACATATATTAAACCCGACTCGTACCCGAGTGGCCTTTCACCACTGAATTATTGAGACAAATATGTAGCTAATAAGAGGAAGTGAAAACACCGATAAAATCACATGCAGGTTGGTCGGTCGTGCGTAACTCGGACACACCTTCAAGTTCTGTGTGTGTGGAACTGTACCGGATGTTTATTCTTCTCTAGCTTGACCCCTTGAAAATTATATTGCAGTATCAATGGCATCGATGTGTGTGTCAGAATTTAAGTATTAACTGTTGCATTTCATCGTTTTCATATTTAGGAGAGCAATAAGGAATTCTAGATCGATTTTGATGTATGATGCTATTTTCCCCGAAAGTGTTCTCCATGATAAAGGTTTGTTTGTGAGGCAGTGTGATTAGCTTGCCGTTTGATTATGACGTCACGGCAGCTACTCGCCCTGCCCCACAAACACACCTGCTGTACCACGACGTGCCAGGGGTGACTTTGGTCATCAGTAGAACAACAATAACAAGGACCTGTGAGATTGCTAACCTGGGATCCAGACTGATACTA